GCCTCCACCATAGACTTTGTATGTAAACCTGCTGCTCCTGACGCTGAAATCGCGTTTGGTGTGAACGCACCATAAGAAACACCAGATTACTCACTTTTTCTTGCTCTTTGTCACTGAATGTCACTTTACAACAGATTTTCCACCCAAACTCATTTTCTTTGACAAAAATAATTAGTTGTGCAAAAATTGTAATTCTCAAAAGAAGCCACACCACTACAATTACCACAAATAAAGGTGTGTTTAAACAGACCAAAGCTCTGAGGGCRCGGGAGCAACAAAAACATCAGGTAACCCAACTCTCAGAGGCTCCTGGTGTTCACGCTTTATTCTGACAGAAAACGGTSCAGGGCATGATGTCATGCTGACTTTATGAAGTTATTAAAAGTCAAAATCAGTATTTTGTATTGTCACAGCACATAACCTACCTTGATAATGAGCAAGTTTTCTTTAGTATCATATCAGCTGCAAGAACTCAGGATTTACTTTGTCTTAAAACTTGTGTTCAGTGTTGGAATGTTTCATTTCGAAATTAGAGAATTACTGAGTCTCAGCTGACTTAAAGTGATGGTTCAGACGTTATAAAATGGGGTTCTGTGGAACATTATGAACAATTAATATCTTACCTGTTGTAGATAGCTTTTTGAACAGCCTTCATCTGGAGAAATGGGTTCATTACCAAATTTCCCYCTGGGATCAATAAAGTGCTTTTTGAATTTGAATTGAATTTGTACACGAATGATGTGTTTAAACCACTCCGAATGCAGTGAACACAAAGTGGTTTGCTGCTGTCTTAAAGGAGACCTATTATGGGGATCCTAGAACAAGTTAGGATCCATCTGTGGGCTCTACAAAACATGTCCATTTGATTTAATTCACAAAATTAATTTCAGATAATGAAATTCCACCTTTTCAGTTCTGCCTGTTCTGAGCTCTCATCAGAACCTGCTGCTTGCATGAGTTGCAATGGAAACCCCTCTCCCCACCTGTTGTTTACGTTAGCTCCGCCCCCGCCAGAAGTTTACTTTCAGTTTACTTTCAGCTTCCTTTCAGTTGAAAGTTAGCCTGGTTTAAACCAGACCCTGTCCTTCACTTTGCTTTGTACAAGGGTCTGGACTTGATGCATAGAGAATCGATTTCTTGCAGGAGGCGTGGCCTCTACTGAAGTTTAAAATGATTGGATCAGTTGGCTGCGACATATGTTGCTGTGACGGAGGTTAAGCTAAGAAGCTAACCGGAAATCTCGTGTGTGGTAAACAACCCTACTGAGAGGAGAGAAATACACAGAGCCGAACAAGACGACTGTAAATGAGAGCTGCTGCTTTGTCAGACAAATTTATTTTAATTTGGAAGCCTTATCAACACAGACAGGCTTCGTTCACTTCCTCCACTGCCGAATGCTAAAATAACTAGCAGACACTGCGCAGAAAGTCGACATCGTTCAAAGCTCCTCCTTCTGTTCTCTGATTGGCCCAGCTAAAAATCTGCCAGCGAAATCCATCTCAATGGGAGAAGTCCCAGATGGAGTAGTGAAGGGAAACTAGAACTGAGCGGAGCTGCGTAGGAAGGCAAGGGCCAGGCTAGTTGAAAGTACTATTTTTCCAAAGTAGTTCATGGTGAAATTATTTACACAAACTTTCATAGAGCTCGGCGGTATGACCAAAATTTTATATCACTGTATTTTCAACTTTTACACCGGTTTGACGACATTTTTCTTTTCGTCACAGGTCAGCTGATAATAAAATGTACAAACACTGCTTATTGACTTTTTTCTTTTACTGTACCTCTGTCTGTGTCTATGCACTAAAACAAAACCAAAATGATTTTCTAATAAATGAACTTACGCCAGGAGTGTGAGTAAAGTTGATTTTTTTGCGTTATGGATTTAACTCAATGAAAAACAAACAGAGATGCTGATAGTATCTTTATTGCACAAAATAAAAGTCCSRCAATATGTAACTACATTTTAAAAACCACACAACCACCTAAAAAAAAGTACTTTAAAGTCCGAATGTAACCGAAGCAACTCTGAGCAGCTCCCCTGTAGCTGCCCAGCCTCTGGCTGCTTTGACACGGATAGCGGGACAGCTGGCACCAATAGGTGCAGGAGAAGGTGGAGAAACGGTCTGGGAGCTCAGCTAGTCACTTATCGAAGGTGATTCTGAACAGAAAACCAACGATTAGCCTCAATTACAGTCATAATTAATTACTAATTACAATAAATGTGGAGCTGAGGGTGTTGTTTTTAGCCTCGATCGCTAACTAGTGATAGCCGCTAGCTGCTAACTAGTTAGCATTGGAAACGAACATGCACAAAGGAACCATCGGAACAAACTTCATAAATAAAAGGTACAGTTTCACAAGCGAGACGTGTCCCATAAATTACATTCAATATCTCACTAAATGCATGAAGCACTCACCGGCGTCTGCAGATGAAGTTTGTGAAGAGTCCAGTCTACACATAGCAGCAGCTAACTAACAAGCTGGTATGTTGATGATCATGCCACATGTCATTATTAATGTCACGTGTTTAATCTAACCGTGCACATCACTGAAGAGGTGTTTACTACAATCAGCAATGGCGAAAACGKGATGTTTTTTTAACATCAATCAAGATAATCAGCGGAATTGACACCCGCCGCTGCAACAAACGGCTCGGCATGCTAACGCACATAGCAGTGCTGCAAGCAAAAGTGTCCCCCTAGAAACTGTTCACTGGCCGGTCGCGGGCGGAGTCTCTGCTTGAGTCACGAGTTGGGCTCAGGTTGGTGAGGGGTGAGTCCGGCCTGTGACATCACAGGCTGCGGGAAATTGAAAACTTGACATTAATATAGCTGAAAAAAACATTTACTTAGAGTAAATATGGCCCTGGGTGCATTTTTTTGGTCCTAGGACTGTTTTTTTAAGAAGTACATACCCGAAGTTGAGTAAAAAAACTTTAAAAAGTGAATTTTGCATAATAAGTACCCTTTAAAACAACTCTAAATGTTTTAACAGTTTATGTGAACACTCATTATTGTTTTTCTGTTTTATTTTCTGTACGTATTTTATAGTATTTTTAGACATTTAACCATTTCAGCCATCCCTATATTCCTACATTCCTATATTAACATTCATAATTTGTTTGTGACTTTTATACTTTTTGAAATATTTAACATTATTCACAAAAAAATTACCCATAAATACACTGAGATCGTTTCTGTTATAAAATATTTTTTCTCTTTGAAATCTGCTTCCTCATAATTGCTGTTATGGTCTTTTTCTGCTAACTTTTAGATAGCCTTTTGCTGCTTTTAGTTGTCATTGTGCTACTTTTAGCTTTAAGCTACAAAAATGTGTATTTAATTTAGCCATTTATTATGCTTAGCTTTCTTTTTTTGCCACTTCAGTAGAAAACAAACTTCTTCATCATCAGAGACTTTATTTTAAAGAAGTAAATCTAGAGAATAAGAAAAAGAAAGACGAAAAAGGAGAAATGTTATGGGTAAGGTTGAAAAAGAGATTAGAAGACATGTGAGATATACACCAAGAAAACATAAACACAAACAAAGACAACACACTCGACATCTGTTTGCACACCTGCAAAAAAATGGAGAAGACAAAAAACAGCAAGAAAATGCATGTGTATATAATAACAATTATTACCTTGCTGAAAATTATAGATGCATCCATACATACATATCCAGATAGACATACATACACACACACATATACACATCTTCATGTTGAAATCTCTTTTTTATATATATGTATATGTACATGTATATGTATTTGCACATGTCACTGTTTATACACATTCAGCTACCATCAGAAACCCCTGGATCTCTTGTTTGTGTGCAGTTGAGAGCATGCATGTACATACAAGGTTTCTCCAGTGGAATATTTAATAGTGACTGTGGAGACCCACAGACCCGTCCCCCAAGGCCCAAAGCAGACGTAAGGGAGACCAGAGCCGAGGACCCCGAGAGGGACTCCAAGCGCAGAGATCCCAGGGACACCAGTGCAGGAGAACCCCTCCCCACCCAGAGAGAACCATAGGAGAGAACAAGGGCCCC